TATTTTCAGAGGGGGTGCATACGAAAAGCGTGATGTGGGGGGAAGTGCTCTGGTATTTCGGGGGCGTCCGTACCTCCTGGATCCGCCACTGACGATGGTCTTTTTCAAGTACAAATGACAATTCTGATGACATAGTATTTTGTTTTTCTGTCTTCCAGATGACAGTTCCTTTGTTTTCTCTTTAATAAAGCGTAGTACTGATGAGTATAAAATACTAATAATAATACCAGTTAAAAGCTAAAATTTACCTAACTGTAATAAATACATAATTACGAAGGGCATCACAAATGTTAAAGCGCTATAAATACGAATCTACACTTCATTACACTACATCCGATCACTATTTAATTAACTCCATTGTTTGCTGTGACTCATTCAAAACGAACTGCTTTAATGCGTCTTTGAATGGCGCAAGTTATTGATATCTCGTACATTTGAAGGAAGACTGTTTTACAGCTTGGGAGTAATATATGAATATGAACGCTGTCCAACACACCTTTGGAAGAAAGGACACGACATGGTGATGCTTTTGCCGTGTAGAGTATGACTGTGTTCGCAACAAAATTCGTGTTTATTACAGTGATATTAGGTGATAATCTTGGCTTTTTAAAACATTTTGATTTTAACATTCTTTTTTGGATAATGTAAACAGGAAGTATGTGAGAAATAGTATTTCGAGAACTAAAGGGAAGCGTGTTCTGAGGAAACTTGAGTCCAAATAATAAAAGGACTGTGTAGGAAGTGCATGAGAGTTAAAATTAGTATTAAATTACTTTGATAAGACTTGCAAAAATACTACACAATCAAATAAGTTGTTCCGCAAAAAGAAAAAGAGACTTTTGTTTCCAGTTTTCCTCAGAACAAAGCTGTGGATATCTCCAAAAGTTGCCAGTAGATTGAGTGTCCAGATTGCTGAAAGCACGTAAGTTTCCACAAGCATGAAAGTATTAAATTCTCAACAAACAGACAAGCATGTACTTGTAACTCAAAGTGGAAATCAAAATGAAATATTTCGGTTTACCATATTAGGCACTCTAAAAATCAGGGCTCAGCAACTTAACAAAAATTCGGAATTCCTTGAAATGGAAATGTTTGCTTTGTATCTCTGTAACCACGACCAACCGCTGTCAGCGCCGTTTCGTGCTCATTCCCCCCATCTCCTCCACAGGACCATTAGACCTATACTACGCTGATGAGCTGCTAATGAGCACAAAACAGCGCTGTCTGCGGGTGGTCGCGGTTACAAACACTGTCACACTTGGTATACCGGCAGCTAGATGTGTTGACCTTTTTGGGGATGGAACATCGATGTGTGAATTGCACAGCTATAAACCCGTAGTGTAGGGATTTTCTGTCATCTTTCATCTCATGACAAGATAATGAAGATCAACTTTGGCAAACCATTGGTAGATGGAGATCGTCACACGTTTCGCCTACCTCCGTTCAGAACTCCTGCTGAATGTAACTGTTCATCTATTTTTCGATTCTCGCAGAGTATTTGGTGATTAGATAGGATAACCTTCTTACCAAACTATTCAACATTCACTTCTACCTTGAAATTAATGGTCCTATCTATACCATCTTTGTCTCACGGACAAACTGAAATTAAGCAGCCCGAACATCATTACCTCCTATACTAAACAAGGAATTCTCCATTAATGAACAAACTCGTTATTTTTTAACTAGTCCTGGAATCTAGCGTCTAACGAATGGCCACTTAGTAGACGGCAATGTAATTTTTTCGATGTGTAATTATACAATTAGTTTTTCTGATGTCATACTTTACTATGTCACGATCTAAGGCTATAATTTAGCAATATTCTGCAATTCAAATTTGGAGAATGTTTGGCCATTACTTTTGTGGTAACAGTTAGTGAAATTCGTTATTAGGCTGTCTACTACTTAACAGCCCATGCAAAAACACTCTTTTCCTGCAGGAAAATGGAGTCCTCAGAGAAAAAGTGGAGCATGGAGCGGAGTGGTGCCAAAAATAATAAATTTCGGCATAGTTCCTACCGCATTTTCAGTACAGAATGCTTTTTTGCCTCATTGATTTCAAATCCGGTATTGGTTTGCCTCTCTCTATGAGGGCATTTGAAGGTCAGTACAAGGTCAAAAGAAAACAACAGTTGGACCCAACCGAATGTCATTAGGTTAACAAGTCCAAATCAGAGGTCACTATGATGGCATCTCAAGGTCGTTTCAAAGTCACTTGAATCACTAAGTCAAAATATGTCTAGCATTCGAGTCCATACGCGTGTCACAGGTTTTTGTGGTTGTTGAGTCAAAATCTTATTTTGTCTCTAGGAGGGCATTTTAAGCTTATTTTAAGACCACCGAAAAGATGAATTTAATAAGTTAAACCGTATCCGTCTACCAGCAGTAATATAGCTATACCTCTCAATATTTTTCAGAACTTAGCCAGAATCGATACTGGATCTTATCTGGCAGTACTTAAAGTTTCACAAACATGATTTCTAATTGGAGCAAAGAGCGGAACCTTATTAGGCATCTGTTTGAATAATGGTAATATAAAGAAGTCAAGCTAAAAATAGTACTCATTTTAATTCACGGCGTTCAAGAAAGAAAAAACGACAATGACATTTTTCGGTTACATTGAGTGACCCATATAAAAATATTCAATTGAAACAATTTTGCAGGAAATTAAACAATTCATAGTTTTTTCATAAAAAAAATTGTTATATGGGTTACGAGGAAGGTACATGTTATAATATTTCCACTAGTATGAGAAAATCTCACTGTAGGTGAAACCTTGTGCATTATTAATCATGTTTTTCTACCAGCGCGCGGAAAGTACTCACTTTCAACACACATAAATATGTAGCACTTTTCCGCAGGCATAACTTTTCCGCATCCATACCTTCTCCGCGCTCATTACGCGTTATTCTTATTAAATTGAATATTTTTGCTAATAGAAATGATTTGTTCTGTTACGTGTTTCGTTGTTCCTTAGCCTGCGCTGTTAGAAAAAATCATATACCTAACACTTTCGCACTTGTTAGGTAAATAACTATTATTTTGTTTATGTTACTACTTATTCAGTTTGTTCCGATCAAAATTTCTAACCAATAGGTATTGTCACTTCACTCCTTACAAGACACTCCCAAAAACACTCACTCTAGTACTGCACACAAAATTAACACAAGAAAGTGAGAAAAAAATGTCACCTAGATATAGATTTACTGGATTATGAAATACGTTTTGAATACTCGCACTTTCCTTAGAATATGCATTTTTTATAATATATTTGTTCTTTATGTCAACACACTGATGTGCTTCACGTCTAGGGATATTTGCCTCTCACTATTTGAGCTTTGACTTGAACCAGCCTCGCCTGTGATTCTTCAGTATAAGATCATATGATCTGGTACCAAAAAACAAGAACGTTCACCTAACCGCTAAATTTCTCGTAGCGAATCCAATGTAAGGTACATTTTTATACAAGCAAAATGATAAGTAATTTGATTTAACAAAAAATTGTTCCTACTTTCACATAGGATTGATGGTTTCCGAGATTCTCAATCAAACAGAATGACGGCAAATGATTCAGCCCTATCATGCCGCCAATTTGAACTTAACTTAAGCAATAGTTTAATGATACCACCAAAAAATTCCACTGACGTAAACGTTGTAAGGAAATATTACATGTTCCATGGCCTACTTGCACGGTTAACACATTGTTACTAAAATCGATGTCCCTCTGTTTTTCCAAACAGCCATTTGTGTTTTCTGTCGGATAAAACTGTATCACTCTTGCAAGATCAAGAAAGCACACTCGAACTGTCGCGCTTACAAAACCTCTCTCGCCTACTGATCTAGATTAGGTTGGATAAAAACAACGATCGTGAACAAATCCTCAACAATAATGTCATCCACAGTTCTACCCTCTTAGAAACCACGCCTCACATTCTCTTTTTCACCGGCCTGTAAATGACACACTTTTCTACGAATTATGTTTGCCAGGGGAGAACGAGGGTTTTTTAAAAAATAACTTTTATTTCCCGTTGATGAATCTAACTACCACTACAATAGTTGATAGCTATCAGATTGTCAAACAAAAGGTACAATTGTTTTTATAAAGTCGTATAATAAGAATACACTCCAAGCTAATTCTTAAGAAGCATGGAGAACGTATCAGGTTGCATGTATGAGATAATTCCAAGTTTTAAAACAACAGTAATAATACAAGATAATGCCAAGATGATGCAATATAACAATTATATTGTATAGAGTGAGCCAAAGTACATAACTATTTCCCCCTTAGATCGAAACGTCCTCGTTTCGGTTTCTTTTAGTTTCAGAAACATTTATTTTCATTACAGGAGGATCAGTACCCTTTCCATGAATAAGTCTTTTAGACAACATTTGTATATAAGATAAATTAATCCAATAACAATGATTAAGCCAAATATGGAAAATCCGCTAATTATTCCAGTATGATAAAAATTTAGATTTTGATAAAGAATTGGTTTCATTTGTTTGAGAGTAGTTTTCAACTCTTACAAATTTAGAAAATGATAGTTGTTCACTACTGTAGTATTGGCTGTCATATTTAGATCAGGTAACCAACTAGAATTTTCATTAATTGTAAAATTGGTATTTGATAGATAAAATATGTCTTCATCAATTATTGTACCACATATGCTATTCAATATATAAGAACGTTTTAAGTTAATTTTCTTGACGTTCCCTTCACATTTATCGACTTCAGTTCGAAATGATTGTGAATAAAAAATTAGAGCATTTTGGCTCCACAATTTTTTATAAAGTGAACAGTCGTTTTTGACCTCATGGAATACACAATGCATATACGAGGGATGTATTTTAAGTTTTGCATAAGGAAACATAGTAGGCCGCGCGGATCGAACGTCAGTACTCAATCTTAACCTCACTCTTTAGTAAACTTAAATTCAAAGTTTCACAACAATACCTGCAGTGTTCTCACTACAGTGAATTTTTAAGTGACACCAAGTCATTAGAAAAATGGAACTCAACCGAGCACATTTTCGCGCCATAATTTATTACAACTTTCAGAGACAATTATCGCAACAAGAAAGCCTTGCTGAGTTACTGTCTGTTTTCGGCAACGAAGCGCCACATCAGTCGACAATTCCCGTTGGTATGGATAATTCAAACGTAGACGGGTGAGTCTTAGCGACGATTCCAGGGTGGGTGCACCAAAAACGGCAGAACGTCGATCTTGTGCTCAGACTCATCATTGAAGATAGACATGTGACATATCGCGAGATTAAGGCGTCCTTGAAGATCTCAAAGACCCTAATTCAAAAAATGTTACCTGAAGAATAAGGAGTAAGAAAATTAGTTTCTCGTTGGATACCCCACCTGCAGACTGAAGAGCAGAAATCAGCCAGGGTTAATTGGTGTCAAAGAACGCATGACAGTTTCAATTCCGGAAACTTATAAAATGTATACAGCATTGTTAGGTTACTGTTACGAACCAGAAAATAAATGACAGTCGGCTGTTTGGGTATTCCAAGGTGAAGAAAAGCCAACAAAAGTCATCCCTTCTCGAAGTGTTTCGAAAAGGATGGTCGCGACATTTGTGTCAAAAGCGGGTCATATTGTAACAATTCCTCTTAGTGAGCAAAGGACTGTTACTGCGGACTGGTATACCACTATTTGTTTGCCAAAAGTCATCACCGAGCTTGGAAAAATCAACCCCGAAAGAAGAATCATCCTCCACCAAGACAATGCAAGCTCGCACACAGCCCAAAAAACAAGGCAGTATTTAACGGAAGAAAACGTGGAATAATTGGACCATCCTCCATACAGTCCCGATCTAAGTCCTAACGATTTCTTTACTTTCCCGAAAATTAAAAACAGACTGCGTGGTCAAAGGTTCGAGTCACCAGAAGAAGCAGTTGACACATTCAAAAATGGCGGTTTGGATCTGCCAGCAAACGAGTGGAATAAGTGCTTCGAAAGTTGGTTCGAGCGCATGCAGATGTGTATTAATCTTCGTAGAGAGTACTTCGAAAAACAATAAAGTCATTTAAAACTACCTACCGTGTTGTTTTATTTCCATATGCAAAACTTTAAAGACATCCCTCGTAACTATTCTTTAATGAGCATACAATGGTGCGCTGCAAAGAAATGTAAACATGAAATGTTTTAGTTGTCTTACAGGTTGTGTCAGTCCAAGCTTCTTTTACATCATTGCAATAAAATGTAGTAGGTGGTTCTAATATATTTTCGTTATTTGGCAACATAATACAGATTGAATGGGAGTTTACGAAGTATTGCAATTTTCAAGATACATAAGATGGCATCATTGATGTGCACAATGCTTAGATCACTCAGTTGTCATATTTGAAATGGCCTGTTATCTCCAACATTTATCAAAGCCTTTGGAGTATATATTTTTGGAAGGTGATTTTGTATCAGTACCTGTGGCCTCGGCCATTTCGTGTTCAGAATGTCTCAATAGTACTAACATATCAGTCAGAATCTATAAATCTATAACGAATAACATATTAAATTGAATTGGCGACACCAAGAGAAAGAATGAACAAACATAGGGACTTACAGAGTGAAATTAAGAATAATCTTCATTCTTGGTCCGTCCTGAACTTCTAACATTCAGCTGTGGGGTGGCGTCTTCGAAGGGTTGGCTTTCCCAAGCCAGATGTTGATCTTTGAACGTTTCGATAGTGGAAAATGCCCAAATTTTTGGCCTGGTTCTTCCAGTTATGCTATTGGCGTTATTTCTTCTGGCTAGGCGGGTGCCAGTGGACTTTTTCGCCCTGTTCTCCTCTTCTCGTTTGTGGATGTTGGATTATCTCCCCTTGGCTGGCAGAAGTGGCAGATCCGTCACAAACACTTGATAGCGACCGGTGCCGTGGTGTTCTAATAGCTTTGGAGTGAGTACAGTTTCGAATTACTATACTCTTTCTTCTAACACACGCACCGTACGAGGGATCCCGGTTGAGCCCCCAATTATGTTTGCCAGTGGAGAACGAGGGTTTTTTTAAAAATAACTTTTATTTCCTGCTGATGAATCTAACTACCACCAAAATACTTGATAGCTGTCTGATTGCCAAATAAAAGATACAACGGTTTTTATAAAGTCGTATAATAGGAATACACACATAAACTAATTTTTTTTTCTAACAACAGTAATAGCAGGATACAAGATAAAGCCACGATGATGCAATATAATAATTATATTGTATAGAGTGGGTCAAAGCACATAACTTACGCGAACTCTCCTAGATTCTATTTTGTATTCGTATCAAGTGAAAAGCCAGTATTCCATAAAAAATAATACGCAAACATATCCAAAACGCATTTCTTATAATTTCTCAAGTCCCGAGAACACTCCAGGAAATTTATGAAGCCATAAATGTCTGGCATTATGAAAGTCGTTCCGGAATTATAGCAGGCAGTCGGTTTACGAGATAGCATTAAATGAAGTCTTTAACAAATAGGTGTAAATACACGCATATGAGGGCGACAAATTTCAACTGGGGACGTTATTTATCGCCCCCATAAACGACATTTAAATAAAAGTTGTATATTTCTTGGTAGCTCACTCAAATACAGCAACTGAGGTACGCTGCGAGCGACCATCTGGTTAAAACATCAGCGGAGCTACTAAAAAATAAAGCATGTTCACAATATTAACTGTTATGTTTATACTTCTGCTTAGAGATGGTGATCGGAAGACGTATTCCTGAGTACCCTAGATTAAATAGACCCTGTACATTGAACTCATATGATAACAACCGATCTTTGCAAAGTTATTGAGTATATTTTTCACCTGAACCGTTGATTAACGTAGCAACCTGAAGATGATCAACCATATAGTGTATTCGTGCATTTAGAAGGGGATCTGAAAGATAGAAGCGCCATCTCAAAAATAGTAGAAGAACACAAAAGTCAATTTGGTAACCTCAGTTGGAAAGAGTTGAAGTGTTTCGTGCTACTATTGTCTAATAGATGGTACTATAAAACTCAGTTTTTTTTTACCACTCCAATGCCTATTGCCATTGGGTATACCTTCACCGTTTCTGAGACAGTATCAAAACCAAATACTCTGTCCAAAGTTATGTTTTGTGTTTTGCTATTGATTTATAGATGGTGCTAATATCCTTCAAATTATGTGAATCACTAAAGGTAACAACTAGCGAATGCTATGCCTGGTGTTTCTCAAGGATCTAATTTGGGACCTTTGTTACTCATTATGTTTTTAAATGATATTTCTGAAGGTCTTGATGTTGATTTTCTTATATGTGCTGACCATAGGGTGTTGCACAATTCCGTGGCACAACAAACATGTTTTTTTTTAATGAAACGCCTTATATTTTATTAGATATCTGGAAAGACCTATAAAGTCAGCCGCTGATTATTACAAAGAATTAGTAGCAGCATCGTCAGTCCAGATGGACTCTCCTTAAAAACTGTCGTCAGTAATTTGTTGTTCAGCCGAACTGTTTTTGAAATGAAAACTATTTTATTAGAAGTACAATGATTTTTTATCGTTTGAGGAATGTCAAATTGGTCAGGTACTCTAACAAACATTAAGCTAGACCCCCATAGACATTTTTCAACCAGATATAATATAGCTTTGACAGAACAACGACGCCTACCATTCTAAAAATCAGTGATGTACAATTTTTCGAACAACATTAATGTTCATATAAACTTTTTCTCATATTCTTATGCAACGAACCTGCTCTTAAGCTTTCCTAACAACATTCTGTAGCATCCATGTTAGTGCCAGGCATCTACTACCGAACCACAGTAACTTTATAGTCCAATCATATTAGACGAAAATACCCCAGGCTTGCGAAATAATTGTAAAGTCTGGTTTTATTACTGCAAGTCGTTTAAGGGGGTATTCAAAACATGGACGCATAAAATGGGTACACCAATTTTTGTGGGACAACTCTTTATTCAACAACAAAGAATGAGAAAACGTGTATTTTGGGATTCAACCGAAAGTGTTGCCACGAACGAAAAAAATCTTCATACAGGATTTTTAGGTATTTATAAGTCCTACAAAATGAGACCACACGTAAAAAGATCCGGTTAATAGCAAAAAAGTTATGGCCGAAAACCGAGGTAAGCTGCTTGTTTTAGCACTTGTTAGTAATGTGACGATGGTTTCTCGCAGATATTTGAAATTCTTCAAGTTCGTAGGATTCGTACTTCTAAATAACCACAACAAAATTGGAGTAGATTGGTCAAGTAGCTTTTTGAGAATTTCTAATGGTTTATCCCGTAACACCTGTTTTCCTGCCATCACTACTAGTTGATTGAGCAATATACAGGGTTAGTTCAATTTTATAGCTAAATATACTAGTTTACCTTGCCGATATGAATCCCAAGCCACTCCCAAAGATAAATGTTATTTTTATGCAAAAAGATGGGTTACGTTTTTTCTTCTAAACAAATTCAAACATTTCGTATTTGTGAGTAATTTGCAACAAAAGATGATAGACACATCCGTTTTGTTTTAAAATGTGTATAGCAACATATGTTTAGCGCATTTGTTCAATTACTCACAAATACGAAATGTTTGAATTTGTTTAGAAGAAAAAAACATAACATTTGTTTTTCTCATAAAAATAACATTTATCTTTCGGAAGAGTTTGTGATTCATATCGGCAGGGTGAGTGTATGTTGCTATTAAATGCTCTTTGAACGAACCCTGTATATTGCTCAAGAAACTAGTAGTGATGGCCGGAAGGCAGGTGTTTTTGGATAAACAATTAGAAATTCTCAAAAAACTACTCGAACAATATACTCCCATTTTATTGCTGTTATTTAGAAATATGAATCCTACGGATTTGACGAATGTCTAATAGTTGCGTGAAATTATCGTCGCATTAGCAGCAAATGCCAAAACCTGCATTTTGCCTCGTTTTTCGGCCATAACATTTTTGCAATTAATCGGATCTTTTTACGTGAGGTCTCATTTTGTAGGTCTCATGAATACCTAAAAATCTTATCTGAGAAGTTTTTTCGTTCCTGTCAACACTTTCGATTGACTCGCAAAAAAACACGTTTTCTCATTCTTTGTTGTCAAATTAAAAGTTTTCCCACAAAAATTGGTGTACCCGTTTGAACAACTTGCACCAATAAAACCAGACTTCACAATTACTTCGGGTAAATTTACTAATATGATTAGACAATTACGTAGGCTGTGTGCCCTGTTTTATGTCATTTGTACAATAAAGAAATATGGACTAAGCGTTTTTAAATTTGACAGTACACGAGTCACCCCAATACATCAAATGGCATATGAATGATAACAAAAACGTCTGGTTACTGTTGGTAATGGCAGCCAGGCTTTGTTTGGAAGAGCTCTGATTTTTTCAAATTCCCCCACTAATCCCGCTGTTCATAAAAACTCACTGTTATATTCAATCAGCTTATATTCGTTTCCAATTTGCAAATGGCATCCATTGTCGCTGGATCCGGATTCCAGCCAGCTTTCGGTTTGGCTTTATTTAAAAACAATCTATATAAATATAGCTCCCAATAGCTCCCTATTTCCCTTATGTTCCCATACAAACGCGGCCGATGCTTGGCATTTGCTTGTTATTTTATTGCTTTTAATTTTCATGCTGTCCACTACTACCACAGTTTAGATCTGAGCTGTATTTTTATTACATATTGAAGGCGCTGTCTCTCCTACTGGCTCCGTTCTAGTCTTTGTTCTTTTTAAAGTGGTGATAAGATACGTATTGTCTATATGCATGCAGCAGTTCGTTGAATGCAGGACGAAACAAGCTGTCCAACCCTTTTTGCAATTCCATTCATACTAGATACTTGTAAGTCCGAAAATGTCGATTTATTGATTTTGTTCTGTTTTAGTGTTGTATGACATACAGAAACAAAATCAGAAAATCGACATTTTCGGACTTACGAAGTATTGATTTGAGTTCATCGATATATTACATCAACTTGTTCACCAGAGTCAAGAGTACGGAGAGTTATTGTATGAAACGTACAAGATTCAT